CGCCCCGCCGCCCTGCGCAGCCGCCGCGACACGTGGCGAGCCCCGGGCCGGGGGCGGGCCCCGCTCCGCGGCAGCGGCGGGGCTGGAGCGCCCGGGGACGATTGAAAACACAGGCCTGGGCTGTGCCCGGCTGAGCGCACAGCCTTGTGCACCGCTTTTCTATGGAGCTGGTGGTGGGTTATGCCTCGGACTGAAGTTTGAAGAAGAAATAACTGAAGCAGCTTTGATACGACCACCTCATTACTAAATGGAAGGACTGATGGTTCAAAACCAGGGAGGGATGTAGCTAGAAGTAATGTAGTTTTTGAGAGTTGCCGCAATGGAATACAGGTACAAGTTCGCCTCCCTTTGCCCGCGTTGCACACGCCACAGGCCCCTTGCCTTCCTGCCCTTCCAGCAGCCCCACGGGAAAGAGCCGCCTCGCCCCAGCTCAGCTTTGTTAATCTACAGCTACCCAAATGAAACTACAGAGAGTAGTGATAACACTTCTGGAGCTAAAATCCATAAATCAGCAAAATAAAAACACAGAAGCTACATATTTAACCTTTTATTGCACTTTGGACATATACACGATATTTCCCACAATTACTGATTATTTCAACACTGATGCTACAAAACATTGCTTCAAGCTGCAAGAGAGTTTAGGCACTGATCCTGCAGAGTTCAAGTTAGAGCTACAAAAAATTTACAAAATTACATTGTATTACATAACATTCTAAATATCACAATTTTAAAAATAACGTTTATGTAATACAAAAATCAGAGGGTTAGAGTGTACAAACATTAACATTTTGAAAATGATTTTGTGTGTATATATATATATGATTTGACACTTCAAAAGTTTTTGCATTTTTTTTTCCTATTAGACATTCCCTTAGGTAAGAAACAGAAAAGCCTGAGCTTTAAACATATTTTACCATATAAAACAGATTCAAAATATACTTGAAAGGCCTATTTTGTAGGCTTCTATGTTTCAATTCTATTTAAATTAGATTTTAGATACTATTTTCAAAATGCATATGCAGAATGTGAGTGTGAATTAATAAATGATAATCAAAAAATCCTCATGTTTTCAAATTCCAGGACGTAACATCTTAATGACAGTAATTAAAGGTGCAGCACGCAATGGTTTAGACTTTTAGTATGAACAAATTTTTTCTCCTTTGGATTCTATTTCACTCTTCATTCAGTTAAAAAAGCTAACAGCTTTTTCTGGTAAGCATCCTCTGAATGGGTAAAAAAGCAAGTCACAAATTTCTTGTTCCTTGGGTTTTCAAACATAGAGCTAAAATACTTTTTAAAAAATTATATCTACACTGTTGAGGAGACCATAATAAACCCACTAACACTAATATATTACCGTTTAGTAGAAAATTATCACTCTAGAAAACAAATAGCTTATTTTATGTGCTAATTCCAGATGGAAACTAAAAGTTTGATGCAGAAACTGTGGGGCAAAGTTCTTTGGCCAAACACAAAAAGGATGCAATAGTTCTTTCATGGTAATCTTATAAAATATGCAGCTTCTATAAAATATATTTAATACACAACTGATGCATACACAATTATTCTCCCTGTGTTGCAGAAATTCTGCAAGTAAGCAGCCTCCCTAATTTCAAGGTGTGCCTCAGGCTATGTTTATGTAAAATGAAAACTACCCCATAATATTGCACTTCAGTGATCTGCTACAACAATAAAAACCTTACAATTTATATAAATTGTTCTTACAATGTCACGACAAGGGAGACAATTCTGTGTTTGGAAGTTAGCTTATTCAATGGATTCTAATGAAGAGTTCAAATAAATTTATGACTGGTCTATATAAGTAAATGCTGAAAATGAGGAAATTCCTTTCCATAGCAGCATTCAGGAATATAACTTGAATACATGAAGTATTATATTGGAGCCCCTAGATAGAGCTGATCAAATCAACAGAAGAGAGAAAGACGACTTGTCCTGAACACATTAGTATTAGACAATGGGAACAAAATCTGTGCAAGAAAAACCTTTCAAGCAGTACTACACACTATGTTTTTACTGATTTTACAAATTCAGTGTTTGGATATGATTGGATTTAACATTGTACAGCAGATCATTTTAAAGTTGACATGTTTTACAGCTGGCATATAGGTTAGTTCTGTCTTTATATAAAAACCTTTCAAATACTGAGTTCAAAAGTAATAAGCAATAAAAGGTGTGAATGCTAGTTTTGTAATCTGAGGTATGTTTTGAAGCTTTATGTTTACATTGTTTCATTATTTCTTTCTCCACTGAAGGTTTTAAAATGCTGTTTATTTAGTTCCAGGTTCTGAAGAATTTCTCTTGCCACTGCAGGTGCCAAAAGTCCTTGTCCTTTAAAATTACTCACACTCTGCTTGCTACTTTTGTAAAATCTGTACTTCTCATATGGAAGAATAACATTACAGAACACATTTATCATTAGCTAGGCAAGAAAAACAAATACTGCACTAATTTTTAAAGTATAATATGATATCTGCAGGAAAGTCTTTATATTTGAAAAATACAAACATACAACATGAATCCTTATTATGTAAACAAATTTGTGCCAAACCACTCTCCCTATAATGGTAACAGACCATTGGGAAGGCTAAGAATACAAATAATTTATTGACAAAATGAGAGTCAAAAATTTTGTAAAGACCAGAAACACAGAATATTATTGGAGAAAAGAAGACACTGAGAAAATGCTTAGTATATAAACAAGTCAAATTATATAATCTCCAAGGGATGATATGTTTCTTTTACAGGAGACTTGAATGTGCTTTTGGCCAATAAGCAAAAACCACTCCTAATCCTGTCTTAATTTCTAATATTCTTAAATTTATAATGACAAGACTGATGAGATTAGACTGTTTCAGGCATTAATAATGAGAAATGTCTGATCTAAGACTTGCAATTATTTGCTTAGACTTTCTATTATTTTTTTCAGAATCACCTATCCATTTATACTTACTGTGGATGTACTTCCTTGCCAAAGAATTTAAATGCAAAGCAATTCTGCTTATATTTTCAATTCAAACCAAGCTATATTAATAAAAAGTATATAATTACTTTCCAGTATTTTCAAGAATGTGCATACATATAGACACATACAGATACATATGTATCTATATTACATCTACAGCACAGCTTATGTTAAGGACATACAGTACAGGCAGTCAAAACTAACAGAGGGAAGTAGTATAATTTCAAAACAGAGGGCAGCATACATTTAAAAAAAAATGTATTTAAGTGCCCTTTTAATGCCACAGTTTTAGCATTAGTAACATTAAAGTGTTGCTGTATAGGAATCTCACTACTTATATTTTACAGCTTAATGGCCCAGCCATTTGCACAAACTACTGCAGCACTGAAATATATTTTATACAGTGCTCAGAATGCACCTGTGACTGAACTGGAAGAATTTAGAATAAAACCTAGAGAAGTGTCAGGCCCAGACAAGCTTGATGGTAGACTGCCTTTAGTTTAACAAAGAGTTTTAGTGCATGGTCGAATGAAAATACTTTAATGAAGGACAAGTTTATGTGGATAGATAGAAGGTAGGAGAACAGAGATGGTGAGGGTAATCTCACCCCTAAGGAGTTCCAGCTGTGCCAATTGTCAAGCATTAAGAACAAGCCTGCCCTTAACAGACCACAGCTGGATCCATTTAAGAGGGGTATTGTAAAAGAGCAGGTTGGCTGGTGGAGATGTGAGATGGAGTTTGTTGGCTGTGCAGAGGAGGAGGAATCAGTGCTGTGAGGAGCTGCCCATGAGATATCACTGAGAAGGTATGAAACCTTTGCAATAGGATGGCAACAAGTTTACATGTTCTAGTAAGCAACAAACTTTTGTTCTTTCATACTTAACATTAAGTCTAACTGCTGTATTTCACTTTGAAAGGTATTGTTGCACGTTCAAAGATTTCCTTCTGTTTTTTACTATTCTGGTTCTATGAGTAATTAAAAATTAATGTATGACAGAAGAATGCAGAAAAAACATTTGACATTTGAACAAAAACAGAGACACAAGTTCAACCGAATTTTCATGATGAAGGTAATCTCACCCCTAAGGAGTTCCAGCTGTGCCAATTGTCAAGCATTAAGAACAAGCCTGCCCTTAACAGACCACAGCTGGATCCATTTAAGAGGGGTATTGTAAAAGAGCAGGTTGGCTGGTGGAGATGTGAGATGGAGTTTGTTGGCTGTGCAGAGGAGGAATCAGTGCTGTGAGGAGCTGCCCATGAGATATCACTGAGAAGGTATGAAACCTTTGCAATAGGATGGCAACAAGTTTACATGTTCTAGTAAGCAACAAACTTTTGTTCTTTCATACTTAACATTAAGTCTAACTGCTGTATTTCACTTTGAAAGGTATTGTTGCACGTTCAAAGATTTCCTTCTGTTTTTTACTATTCTGGTTCTATGAGTAATTAAAAATTAATGTATGACAGAAGAATGCAGAAAAAACATTTGACATTTGAACAAAAACAGAGACACAAGTTCAACCGAATTTTCTTCTTACACTGTATTATTTTACCTGTTTTCTCCCAATGTTCAATGCACTAGCCACAATGACCATAAAACTACAAGCATTTTAATTTTCCTGGGTTTTTATGAACCATTAGAACATAAATGAATTAATACAAAACAATTACTGAAAAAATCCACACAGAGCTGAAGAACTGCATTACAGTTTTATGCAAGACAGCGCTCTACTGAAATTATCTTCAAAATGTACCTGGTTTGTTTTTGCTAAATAAGTTACCTAAGTATTTGATATAATCCACATACTTACCTGTTACAGAGTGTGGTAACATTTCATACCAGTCTACAGCAAAAGCTGACATTTAAACTACTTCTGCAAGAGATGTAGGATTCTTAAAGTCAAAGGAAAAATTTCAAAAGGAAAATTATTCAGGAGATAAAGTTTTTTTAATTTGAAAATAGTTTTCCCTCTCATAACATTACAACTTTTAGCATTATTTGAAGGAAAGATCAGAAAATACTAAAAGCATATTGTCCAAAAATACAGTAGCAAACTGAAAGCAGATGTTCCTGCAGGAAACTCAAGTTTCCAACGTCCAGTTTAATAGCAAAAATACTCCCTTTCAACTCTTAGTGTGTTTCTGATGGTGAGCTCCATTTTATTTTTGAACTGCTGATATGTCTTTGTTCTAGGAAGCTCTAAGCAATTAAGAAGTCTGTTTCCAATGGGATACCTTATACGCAAAAATTTAATAGTAGGTTCAGGATCAAAACCAACAGATGGTATATAAGAGGAGCCTGTTACGAAGAGCAGAATATCCTCCAATGTTACTACAGAGTCACCACCTAAAAGAAAAGGATTACATTTTATCACTGACTGTCTATTAGACATAAACCATTACCCTGCATATTAAGTGCTAAGAGGAAAAAAAACCCCATATGAAATCAAATTAATATGCTGAATAAATATGCAGAAAAAGTTTAGCAAGAAAAACCCACTTAAGTTAGTTTGGAAAAATCACAAGTGAATACAAAAATCTCTTCTGCAAGGAAAATATAGAAAACAATGGTCTTTAAGACTTCAGACAATCTATCTAATGAAGGATTTTTCTGTATCACTTAGATTGTGTGTTGGATATTTTTCTTTTAATTCACAGGAATCCTAGAGCAAATATTTCAGATATTTACCACTCTAAAGGTTTGGGCAACACTTTCAGAAATTCTAATTAGTAAGAAAGAGGGGGAAGAAGAAACAATTAGGAACTGACAGTGACTACAAAATCTTCATTTATTTACATCACTGAAATCTAAAAATCAAATTCTGTATGTATAACAGCAACTAAATAACCTGGACAGGGAAGGGGAGGATTTTTTCATTAAAAAAACCAAAAAAACCCCAAAAAACCAAACACCCCCCCCCCAACTTACTTTCCACATCTTGCAAATAGCCCATCCACATCTCCAAATGAGCACCTTCAACTTTATTTACATCTGATGAGAAATGGATCGTAAAGAGACTGTAAACAGTTTCCGCTGAGAGTCTTTCGGGTTTGTGGCACAATATGCTAGAGAACAAATCCGGGTGCATTTGCATTTTCTCCAGAATGCCCAGTGTTTTCAAGCCCTGTCTAAAACTAGGAGAGGGAGATAAAAAAGAGTGACCATGCATCAGAACTCTGCATTTTATAAAGCTGCAAGATGGGATCTCATAAATCTTCCCCATCTCCAGTCTCTTGTCAAGAGACTTGTCTCTTGTCTCCTATCTTGTTAAGAAGGTTACATAGTACTACAGCTTTATCTTGGGAAATGCATTGAACTCTCATTTTAACAATCTAAATGTTTCTGTAGAGCTTTTTGGGGAGATGAAAGAATTAACCTTATTTCCTAACTGTATGTCAGGTACTTGACTGTATGTACAAAGTAAACTTTTTACTTCAGTAAGAAAACATAGCAGTTCTCTTTCTTACAAATAGCTCTTTGGAAAACAGCTTAAATTCCTTGTCCATAGACAAAATGAGTTGTCTTAAAAGATAGTCTTTGTTTGGCTTTCACAAGTTTGCATGTTATTTCTGTTATATGTTATTTCATGTTATATGCTGTTATTTCTGCCTGTGCCAAATGCAGATAGCAGCATCCTGGGCAGTACTATTAACTGTGTTGTCAGCAGCTCAAGGGAGATGATCTTCTTCCTCTGCCTAGCTGCAGTAAGGCCACACTTTAAGTGCTGTGTCCAGTGCCAGGTTCTGGCAATGGGTGACTAGGATGATTAAGGGACTACAGCATAACCCTTTGAAAGGAGAGGCTCAGAGAGCTGGGACTCTTCAGCCTAAAGAAGAGAAGGTTCAGGTGGAATCTCAACATGTAGAAATATCTGAAGAGAATGTGCAAGGAGGTCGGAGACACAGGCTCTTTTCAGTGGTGCCCAGTGACGTAGAACATTCAACAGCTAAAATAACCGACTCTCTAGTTACTACCAGTCCTTTATAATGACAAGCAACTTCTTGTTCTACTCACTTATGCCCATCTTAAGCCCATCTCCCAAATGCACAAAACTCCACTACCTCATCCTCTTTAAATGCTTAAGTTTTCAAGTTAATGTTTAAGTGTTTAATGCACTAATTACTATGTTTTACTTTTTAACTCACTAATTTTAAAATAGATTGCTCAAACATGCCAGAGGGCCTTGAACTGAAGGACTAAATGCTTCTGACCTCTGTTTAAAAAAATCTTCACAATAAGAATCAGTTTTCATAGCTCTTTGAGACAGAGTTAATCAAATTTGTCAGTGTTGTGGTGCATACTACATGTGAAGTTTAAATCAGGCTATGCTTGTTGGAAAAAATTAGCATCCAATAAATTTTTATGATGAAGAATGCGAATTAGAAGTAAGGCCAGAGACCAATCAAAGAACAGTCAAGAGCTGCAACTTTTCCAGCTAATGAGGTCATCATCACCTTACAGAAACATCAATGCAATGCTTATGTTCTAAGCAGGCCAACTTACACGTGTTGACAGTATTGCACTCCTAATAGCACACACAAACTCCCTAATTGGAACTCTAGAAAACTCATTTGAATTCTAAACATATGTTTAAACATTTCTAAAACATAAAGATTCTAAATTTGAGCAATTCTGAATTAGAATTGAACATAAGCTAGAGAAATTTTACAGTGCAAAGGTCTTTGTGATGCTGTAGTTTAAAAACTGTAAATCTGCCTTCTTCCTAAGGTTGAAAAGGGAATGTAATGTGACCAAGGAGAAGTCAGAGCAGATGTGTAGAGAAAAGTTTTTTGGTTTAACTACTTAGTTAACAGTTGCTACTTAATCAACTGGAAATTACAGTACACTTCAGTGGTTTAAATGGAGAATGAATACCTGAAAGTAGTATTCTTAGTATGAGTTTTAGCAACATATTATTTAGTGTCGGAGCCCACGACATCTCTCTGGATGCCCTGGATGTCTCAAAGCCCTGGCAGGGGCTTGGAGACCCTGGCAGGAAGCCAAAGACACCTGGAAATTCGACCTTAATTCATAGAGCAAATTGCCAACCTTATATAAAGAATTACGGGCCACAAAAGTTTAAGTAGCATAGTAGTAGGAATTGCAGGGTGAAGGGAAAAAACTTTAGAGCACTGTACAGGGGGGTTTGAAATTCTGTACATGGGGGTCAGGGGTTCTAAGATGGAGGGATTTGGGCGTGCCCTGTCCTTCTTTCTTCTCCTTGGCATCCATGTTCAGGATGATGTTGGCACGTGTGGATTGGTTCATAGTGAAAGTGCACTATTTAGAGCTGCAGTGAGGAAAAGAACGAAGAAGTTTGAAAACTCAAGCAAAACAAACCTTTCTAGGGGTAAAGTAATTCTCTTGATTACATGATAGATCAGTATGTCATTCACCAGCATGTTCTTATCCCACAAAGCTGTTACAGGTCTTAAACAGCCAGCAGCAGTGAGGAATTCACAGCAGTCCTGTAGTGTAGACTGTAGGCTGGACAGACTATCTGCATATTTTATCTGCATAAAAAGATAAATTAGGCACTCGTTTACTACATGTGTGTATACATATATGTGAAAAAAAAACCCTTTTCATTTCAAGAAAATTTATATTCAGTAAGTCCTTTATCTCCAAATATAGTCTTGAACAAGAACAAGAAATAACTTATTGCATATTACCGTTTTTACTGTTTGTGCGACATCAACATCAGCAACATCTTCCAAAGTTGGCTTCACATTCTCTGGACCATAGACAAGACAGTTGAACAGTGTTTTGGAAAAGAAACCAGGAGGTGGACCACCATGAACCAGAGAAACGGCAATCATTTTACCAGCTTCAAAATAAATATTGTCTTTTACAGCTGCAAATAAAAAAAAAAAAGTTTTTAATTTAGATGCATAGAAATTATTTCTGATCCTAATTTTTTAATAGAAAGTGTCATAGTTCCTTTTTTTTTCTTAACGACTTTCGCTATCTTCTGACAGTTCAAACTATAAGACCATATTTTTACATAGGAGTACCACATTCTTTTACACCAACTCCTCAGCCACTATCAAGGTTTGGGAGATCTAACTTCCTCTTCCACTTTACATCCAATGAGTATTTAATTCTGAAGCATAAGAACTCAAAGATGCTAACTTGGGGTCTTTTGGAAGCATACTATGAAAAATAATGCTCTATAAATTTGAGGAAAGGAAAATAATTAGAAGAGACAGTGAATCAGGAAGAAAGAAATTCAATTAAAGAAAACAAATACACCAACTAAAACATTCCAAGTCTAGTCATATGCTGTTTTTCGATGGTTGTCATCAACATTTCCAACCAACACAAATGTTTTAAATTACAAATGCACACACCATCCCTCGTTACAATCGAAAAAATAAAAAAATTAATCCCCAGTTTTTATCCTTTTGGCTGAAGATTAAAAATATTTTAAAGTTATACATTTCTCAATTTACTTTTAAACAAAGTAACTAATTACCTTGAAAATCAAAAGACAAGTTCTTTCCAGAAGAGCCCTCAAACAATGATGAATTCTCAAGGTGAAGCATCAATGCTTGGAAGAAATGGTGTTTTGATGCAGCAGAAGTATTTGTCTTTGATCTATTTTTGCAGTTTGAGAAATTTACTTCAATAGTGTTTGTAGGATTGAAGATGCGCTGTCTAAATCCTTTTAAAGCACTACTCCAAATATTTTCTGCATTGATGTTAAGTCTTGTTGTTTTTGTTTTAACTTGTATTTTTAACTCCTTCAGTATATTACAAACTTCCCTTCTTTGCTGTCTTAAATTCCTACAAGAAAATTGCATGTATTTTCAGATGAAATCTATGATTCATAATTAACAACAGTTACACAAAAAATATTTAAACAGTTTATTAAGAAGAACACTTCTTTAAATGCTGTGGCACATTCAGGCATTGCCTGAATTGTATCAGTAAAACATTTAGTATATATTTTAAAAATTTTAACACTGTAGTGGCAAGTTTCAGAATACTTCTAAGAACTGATAGAAGGAGGTGAAAATAATTACCCTGGCATAAATCAAATACTGATTTTCTTAATTCAGTGACTCCAACAACAGTGCCAAACAATTATCACACAAGTTGACATTTAAACAACGTGAAACAAGTGAGAAATTGAAGTTGATAATTTTGTATTACAGATGTTTTGCAACCAAATTAGAAAAATTGTTGTCACTATAATGAAAAAGGTATATTTGAGTAGGAAGAAAATTCTCATTTAAAAAAACAAGATGTTTTCTTTACTAGCTTCCAACCAAAACTATCTCAAATACTGTATTTACTAGAAATACCTTATTCCCTCATCAGAATTGTTAGCATATAAGGTAGAATCCATAAATTAACTACTCACAAGAAGATAATGAATTTTATGTCCTCAAACTGAATATTCTATATTAAAACATATTGTTTTAGCACTGACTTTATACAGTCCTGAACAATTCACATGGTACAAATACAAAAACATTTAAAATTTAGGACCCATCTAATAAGAAGAAAGGGAATAAAAAGAATCCTAATTGCTATTTTCTAAAGAATGTTTAGCCATGCATCAATAAGACAAATATGCATTTCTGGGTTTTGAACCCCTTACTACCTAACCTAAGAACTCTCAGTAGGTTTCATTCTTTTCCCCTCACACCCTCTAGCATTTATAAACAGCAGAAGCCTTTCTCAACCTATGACTTCCATTTTTAAGTGTATACTCATCTCATTTTTGCCGTGACTATATATGTATATACACACACATATATATGCATACTGTATAGAGAGATATACATATATGGATACTGTATATACACAAAATATCTATGTGTTTGTGTATATACAGTATCCATATATATTTCTCTGTACATACTGTACACAAATAGATATGGATACTGTATATACACAAACACACACACACACACAGAGACCCTCCCCCTTCCATGGTCTGTAGGAAACACAGTAAAAAGCCATGTGCTAGATTACTCTTCAAAATAAGAAAAACAGAAGAAATACTTGTGCCTCAGGGCCCAGTTCCTGTTTGACATCACTGGAGATGGGGACACTGTCACTCTGTTGGATGCTGGCTGCTCTAGGTGTGAGCAAGGTGACAAGTTCTGGCACATTATCTTTGGTGATCTATAAGCCAAAACAGTATTTTAAGAAGATACAACTGAAGAATGCATGAACACTTTCTATTTCAAGGTAGCAGTGTAGTTTCCCCCTAAATCAGTACGGAATCTCATTTGTATCTTCATTTCTAAGAAGTCCACCAGTGCCTGAACTACAATTTTGAAAATAACAATTCTGTATTTTATTACATTGTGGTCTTAGGATGTGTTTTTAGTTGCATCTCGTACATCGCATGAAACTCCTGACTGACACAGTAAGTAAAAACTAAAAATATTAGTTTTTACAAACTTGAAAAGTTTTTATTACAGCAGATGTACATACTTAAAGATGGATGTACATTATTATGAACATCCATCTTTAAGTCAGACTTCTAGAACACTATTAAAATGGAAAAAATACCAATAAGCAAACTTAAAGCTTTGCCATTTGTATATTCTTAAGGTACCACTAAATTGTTAAAATTCCTTTAACAAGGCTCTATCTTTACCAAACTACAAAGTGGTTTACATACCACCAAATCCAAATAACTACAGCAAATTTCCAGAGTACATGGCTTACTCAGAAAACTTAAATCACTAAATTTAATTCCAAATTTATTTGATTTGCAATTTAATGTAAGTTCCTCCTATGGAATAAGCCATCATTTCCTCATGTTTACGCATTATCTTATGGCAATGATCAATTTCTGCGAGAAAACAGAAAATTACACACTGGAGTAGAAAACTGCGTGGAGATCCAGATGACTGCCGAGGGGACTTTGGAGGTGGCTCTTCCAGCAAACAAGGTGTTCCATGTGTCTTTTCACAGGTAGCCAAAGCACGCTTTTTCTGTTTGCTATACTTCCCTGTATGATTACATTATATTAATGAATTTTCTCATTGCAAAGTATGCTTACATAACCTGAAGTTATCATTTAAGAAATCGCCATCACATCCGTAACTTCACCTGATTTTGCAAAGATACTTCTGCATTCCATGCACTCCCAGTTTTGCTCCCATGACTTCACAGATGAACAGGCCAAATGAGTCCCACGAGAACCGCAGTACTGGCAACGTTTAATTTCCCATTTACTAAAATGAAAAACTTAAGTATTTAGAATTAGACAGAAGAATGAGGCTAGTTAAACAAAAAGTAATCAATAGTAAGTGCAATCCTGACACTAAACCAACAAAGCATAATTTTATCAGTCGGGCAGAACTGATTCTAATCAAGGAGACTTTCTTTACACAAGATGTACTCATAACTGGCTGCAACAAGAAAAAAAAGCTACTCATGTTCCAGCACCTTGCAGTGAATGAGACTATTAGTACTTCCGTCCTGAAGTCAACAGACTGCAGGCACTATTTTCTTCTCATCCTGCTAGTCAGCAAACTCCTCTGTTTTTATGGGTATCCACTAGTCAGCTTTTCCAAATAGTAATTCTTTTAAAGGAGAGCTCTCAAGGGAAGCATTCAAACTACTGACCTAAGTCTACTACTTTAACAACAACTTCTTGTAAAGTATTTTAAATTGCTGAATTAAACTCTTAATGATACATACACAACATTAATTTAGGTACATGCTGTGTTGATACACAAATTCTGCTTCACCTGTGTAAAATGAGGACAAGGTAACTGATAATCCCTTAAATTTGGTTTTCGCTTTTATAACCAGATCAAGTTAAGAGAAATTTAGTATTGAAATATGATTATATTGAGTAAAACAAACACACTATCTAGACAGTGTCAAGTTGGCTTGACATTAAAACGTGATGCCGAAAAATACCAAAACATTTACATAAATAAAAATTATAAGTAACCACAATGAAAAATATGTAAAAAATCCTATTCTATCCTATGTTATACTTTCCTGCTTAAGTATCATACCTATCAGGTTCATTATAGTCTCTTCCTTTCTTGCAGAGACATCTTTTAACATCACAGTGTTGATAACAATGCAGTAATTCTTGATATGCATTTTCTTCAAGTTCCCAAGATGCATCCCTGTAAACAAAGCAGAAGAATATCAGAACTCTATTTCTGATTGTTTCAATGGGTTACTTTGTATTTTGAAAAAGATATATGCAATAAACATATGATTATATTTCAGTCATGTCATGTTCTAGGTAACAGGGGGGTTCTAGGTAACAGAGGGAGAAGGGGGGAAGGAAAAGTCTAATAACTAAAATAATACTATAAAACACATAGACAGAATTTTTCTTGCATAGTTACTTTGATTTCAAGTATTTATTTTTTTTAATATGACTTCAGTGACAGAGCACGTTTGCTCTGTCTCCATCCCTTTTTTCTCTCACAGAAAACAAGGATATTTGTTTAGGCAGCCTACACAAGTTACCACTGAAACTGGTTTCATGAATGGTAACTCAGAATGTTCCAGGCCACTACGGTGAAGTTCATAAACTATTTTGACTGTTCCTCCTCTCCAGAATCTTAAGCTTTTGTCTCAAGAGGGAACTGACGGTGCTCTCTGAAGAGACTAATAGTTATTAAGGAATACTTCTAACAAAGAAACATCATTCTGATCTCTTTCTGTCATATTTTTAGCCTCATCAGGTGATAGAAACAGGAAAAACAGCTTGGAACTTTGGAAGCAGATGATATACTATCATAACCTTTGCAGTCCCTTGGCAAAAGATAGGAACTGTATGGCTGAGTAATCAGCCAATTACAGTTCTGTCTTGACAGAAATGCAGATAATTAAACCTGGACAAGGAAGATACACTTCTTAGCAATCTCTATGTTAAGGAAAAATGATTGTATTTAAGAAGTGCTTTTATCTTCTAATTAGGTTTACAATTTCAGTTGAATCATAGCATTAAAAACTACTTTTCAGAGCTTTCTGTTTTGTGTTTGATATAACAAATTTCACCTTTACCAACTTTTATGCATATCTAAAAGGAAACAGGCTACTCCTTACCAAACTGAACAATTCTACAACTAAAGGCAGAACAAACGTTTCACATATTAATAGCTGAAGTTCTGTAGAATAAAATAAATGTTTGTAACAGCCTATCAAAGTTTTCATACAAGAGTAATCATTAACAAAATTACTCACCTTTCTGGAATGTGTATGCCCATTCTCAACATTTCTTTTTGAAATCTGTCCTGGTTATTACATACTGTGCACCTAAAGAAAAATATCCCAGCACTCAAAGCTTGATACTGTGCCAAGGAAAAAAAAACACAACAAAGAAACCAGACCAATTATTGAATTACTACCATCCTTAAGATGACAATAAATTATGTCTTAATGTTCAGATGCATTACAGTCATGGATACCGTCCTGACATGGGTGTTAAAGCTGGTATCAGTCATGATGTGACTTGACATTAAAGCAAATGGCAAGGATTTTTCTCTTCCTTTAAGGAAAGAGCTCATATGCCAGAATAAGGTTCATAAATGAAAGCACCATCCTTTTCCGTCAACCTCTCCAGATCCAGTATAAGTTTACAAAAAGAATGTTGTAATTTTTCTAGTCTTGGATTTAGCCAGAGAACTGATGATGGAGAAATTACATTTTTAGCACTCAGATTCTGTACATAATGACTTGTTGAAACTTGCTGAACTTCAGTTCCCAAAAGTAGTTAAGGCATGAAATATGTATCGTACATGCAGAAACGTGGATTGGGCACAGGGGAGAAAAAATAATAGCATTAAAACCTCAGAATCCTTTTGTGTCCATAATGCAGTTTTAGCACTGTTCTTCAAACCTAGTATACTTCATAGCTACTACCTACACTTACCAATAAGCAATTGTTCCATTATTTTTAAACAGAAATGTGATCTCCATGGATGCAAAAAGAATTAAAGGGAGAACCTGTATTACCTGCAAGCATTCTCGATGAAACCAAGCATTTTTACAGCAAGGACTTTTCAATACAGTGTACACTGGAAGATGTTCAACCAAATCCAGGCATATTGTGCACTGTGAAGCTCCTCTAGGTTCTTTATCCATGAAGTCTTGGACTGGTCTATGTTCCCAACAGTAAGATCTAATGAGAATAATTTATGGTTCCATTAACAAAACAACATTTTAAGAAACTTCTTAATAAAATTTGAAGACAGCAAAATAATTCATTAATCCATTTTTTCATGTGCAACTGCTACGCAACAAGCTAAAAATGCAGACATACTGGTTTTGGCTTTGTCTGGGCTTAAATTTCTTAATAGTAGCTTGTATGGCGATGTTTTGGATTTGTGAGGAAATCTGTGCTGATAACACAGTGATGTTTTAGCTATAGCCCAGCAGATCTTGAACAGAGTCCAGACCTTTTCTGTTTTTCCCCCACCAGTGAGCAAGCAGGCTAGGGATGCACAAGGAACTGGGAGATGAGACAGTTGGGATGGCTAATCCCTACTGACCTAAGGGATATTCCATACCATGACATCCAAGAAATGCAGCTCTAGAATAAACCTTTCTGAAGATGCCTTATCTTTACATGTACTTGAGGTGATGAAAGTTGTTTTCTATTAATTGCCTGCCAGATTTCAATCCATCCACCCTAAAAACTGAGCTCACAACAAGGATAATGCACTCAAGAGTATTTTGACTACAGCCAAGATGCTAGACAGATGACAGTAAAAGAAAACAAAACATTTTAATGACATTTGATATTAAGCCCTTTTCCCATGCAGTCCATCTCTAATAAACTTGGAAACACAACAAAATGGCAGACATTGTGTTTTGACCATTTAGAGATACAGGTAGCCAAAGCTCTGCCATTTCAACACAGCACAGGAGACAGGCAAACAGAAAACCAAATCAACCATTATGCAGTTTAATTCAGAGTTCAGAATTACTGTTCAGTTTCATAAACAACTTAACTACTTGTATAAGCATAAAGTCATGTATTTAGAAGTGTTGAGAATCAAGTTTATAAATTTTAGGTTCACAATGTAGCCATTTGCCTTTAATGTCTACCACAAATCAGGTATTTGTTTCCTAGATTATCTGATGTCATTTGCAGCTATCAGCCTATCCAAGAACAAGCTGTGAAAGAAACCCAAGTCACCTCCTGTCTAAATATAATAATTATATGGAAAATGGAAAAACAACAAAGCCCAAAACTCACCTGAAGTCTTCCATAAACTGGAAAATGCATTCCTTTTGTAACCCACAAGGAAAATGGTAACTTCGTTTGCATTTAGGAGCTACACATCCAATTGAAGCTCCCTTTTTCTTACAGATATTACATTTCTAGAAATAATTTGTTTTGGAAACAGAATATTAATATTTTAAATACAAGTAAAATTACAGGAATTAAACCAACAGAAAAGTTAGAAAAAGTGTAAGAAAGAATAGTAGTCATTAGATTAAAACTGTGATAAGACTAATGTGGTTTAGCTCTGTTACAAAGAGTAAATATGCAGTTATGTCCCAGACTTAATGTATTGGTTTATATGCATATTGTCTTGTGACATGTAAGATAACATACAAGTTATTTTGCCAGTACCTATCATTTATATAGCTCTAACAGGCATACACATATATATACTTATATATAGGCATCAATAAATCATTTACTCTCAGCTTCAAGCTCAGCACAATGTCATGAGGTATTATGAAAGTTTAATTAATTCACTCTTATTTATCTGGAACTTACCCAAGGAATAACAATAGCTGCAAACTCTAGAGGCCCAGGGAAGCTGACTTCAGTTGTGAGGTGAATTGTAATGGAGCATCCGGGCCCCACTGTGATCTCAGAAACATTCACTAGGCTTCAGCCTGAACCAACTGGACTCGACTAAGCCTCTCTGGAAGCTCATCAGAAACACTGTTCCCAGGAACTAAGGTATCTAATGAGCTCCTGTTTTATAACAAACAGTCTTGGAAACTTTTTCTTGCCTGAATAACAACCCAAGTGGAATAGTATTTTTGTTACTGAAACTTCAGAGAATGCTACCAACTCAAATTGCAGCCAGGATGGAAAATTACTGTCACTAAAGCCCACTCTCTTGTGACTCTATAAACAGTGGTTCAAAGTGAGACTCTTGGAGCTCAATTCTCAGAAGACATGGAGCTAATGTGCATGTCTCAAACACTGATAACCTTATGGCTCTGGAGCCAACCAGGGACTGCTGGCAGTAACACACAAGAATTGTTGGTGATAACCAAGGATTACTAGTATGGACACACTGTGAGAAAGGAGAAGATTTCACTGGAGCAGAGGGCCTGGCAGAGATTCACTTGGCTGTGAGAAAGAACCACAACACAGTGTAGTGCAAGCACAGGAACATGGAGCAGCAGCAGGCATGGATTCTGGGGTGGGATTTAGACCCCCAAAGCCCTCCAACCCATTTCCAGAAAGGCCTGAAAGAACAGAATGCTCATGGTAACTAATTTACATAGAGGGGTGGAGAAACCTATCCTGAGAAAGGTACCCTCCACAAAGGCCAGGCCAAGTGTGTAAATGACTAATGAAACTTTCTGCCTTCTAGTGGACCCTCTGACTTTTGTCACTCTTTTTGCCCAATGAGCAAAATCTTGGGTGCTTCCTTCTCCTGAAGGGTGGATCATTACAATTTCTGCAGGGCTTTTTTTCCCCTTGTGGCTTCCATAAATCCAATATACTTGTTACTTAAACGTATAATTCAGGTGCTTGAATGCACCCAGCACATTGTTTACTGGAGGAAGAAAACAAACCCCACAGGCAGTATGCTAAGAGCACTTAAAAGTTACCTTTTCCCCCTTGTTAATACCAAAGACATTATTCTTACCAGTTTTGCAGCTCTTTTTACTTCTTTTCTAATATCTGTGATTAAAAATCCATCTACACCTTCATCTTCTTCACCCCTCTGCCAAATGCCACTTGACATCAACTACAAAAACAAATGAAGTATTTTAAAACATCCACCTAACCTAAAGATTTAAAATCACATACAGTGTGCTTGACAAGTAAGAGAGAAGTTTAGTCTAAAAAAACTCACTGGAAACATTTTAATGATTAAAAATCTGCTATAAAACAAATTTTTTGTCTGACATGACAATAGCCAGTAAAATGAAAATAAGTATTTCATAACATCAGCGTATTGTATAATACTATAGGGCCTGAGATGGCATATTTTGCCTTCCTTTTTGAACTATACAGACTATTCAGATAATTGTCAAACAATTACTTTCAGCATATAAATCTTCAGAGGAAGTAAAATTAAATTAGCTTAGTTAATATGAATGACAATTGTGCTGTGAAGATAATGAAGCACAGTAGGAAGTAACTGTACTGAAGTGTCACCTAAGAGGAAAAGTAATTCGCTTTAGAGGAGATTTAAATAAACACAAAATCAAGTAACTAGGCAAATCACAAGAGCCTGATGATAATTTAAAGTTAGGCAGCTACATTACAATTTTCAAATAACTGAAGAGTTTCACAACTTGATGCTGTTTATATTCTTTACAATCTCATTTTATAATTTCAACATAGTACCATTTAAATTAGTTTTATCAATACTGTACTCAAATAAATGTAAGATTACATACCCAAACCAATTAAATATATTTTTCCAACTGAGAGACATTTGGCAAAGAATAATTAAACTGTCACTAATGTGCCTCTTTGTAGAACTCTTTTCGTATATAACATACACTATATTAACTATATTTAAGTAAAATCACAGGGCTTTGCTCATTTTTAAAAGAAGTAGAGACAAAAAAATGTAAAAGATACTTCAATGAGCTTCCTGCAGTTAAAATACCTTTTAAATCCTAAAGCTCAGCATTGCATGCATGACTTTTCCTACCTGTTCACCAGGATAGGATTTTTTAAAAATAATTTGATATGGCCTTATATAGGAGAGAAAATTACCACTAACATGGTATAATGGCCTCTATTTCCTTACAGCTGCTCAAAATTTATTTAAAACCAAATTTCTCTATGTAACTTCAGAAAACCTCCACTCTCCTTAGTTTTTAAAGGATTCAGTATTCAAACTATTAAACCATCTACAGTCAACACTCTTTAAAGAACTTGTTGAGAAAACATACCCCCTATGTTACGTCTGGTACTTGACACCCACTTTAAAACTGGGGAGAATAATTCAAATTACATTTCTTAACAAAGAAAAGACTTTATATCCACAGCTTTGTTTACATTATACACTTCTACTAATTAGTGAAACTATACTAATATGATCAACAGGGTACATATAACTTAACTAAAAATTAGGACTTAAGTGTCACAATGTTCTGTGTAATGTCAGAGAATAGCTCACAGCCAGCAAGAAATATTGAGAAATGAAAAAAAACCTTTTCTGTACTTTCCACATTGGGTGGAATTTTCACATTTCAAATTCTGAAACTACATTTTTCTTATAGGAGGAAATATGTAAGTGCAAAACTTCCTTTTGTCTTAACAAGTACCTTCATTGCTATTTGCTATGATAGGTTAGGAGAATTAATGAATTCCTTTAAGTGGATCATGAACAATTTAGCTTTGAATAATGGCTTATTGGGATTTACTTATTTCATCTGCTGCAATTGACAACAAGAAGCTTTCAAGGCTATCAGTTAAAGCTCACATTTCAAGCTTTGCAACAACAAAATTGTTACAAAACATGACAGGTTATTAGTATTAAATACTTGTTGCACCTTTTTTTTCAGATAAAACAGAAAACTCCAAGATCAATACCATACACTTACCAAACAGTAATAATGAACAGTGAGATTGTATTCCACATAGGTCCTTTTTTCTCCATACTTTTCAGGGCAGTCATCTGTCCGTCCACAGAGAACACAGACTAAAATATAGAATCACATTTATAACCACAGTGAGTGTACTGAATTGCTATGGATCAGCTGCAGAGCAGTAGCTTTCACCTCTTTTAATCACATGCATCTTCAAGTAAATTACTGGATAAAGGACAGTAGATATCCCTTTCCTTATTGTTGAATTTTATAATAGATACGGAAGAATGTACTATTTGTTCCTCTAGTTACTAGAAAGAAAATACTTCATCAGCCTGCTGATCCAGGAGTGGTCTATCAGCCAAGCTACATTCACAAGCAGATTGTGCTCCTAATTGAAATATCCTTCCCCAAACACCCAAAAAGAATCATCAAATGGCCAACAATGTCCCGGTGCATGTGAAATGTCATCTAATTGCTACCACAGCTTTTAAAAACATTTAACAATTTGAGACAACACTGCATTTAACTAATACCTTGAGGTTTTTCCACTTACCAAAGTTTCTAGCCCACTATCATAGTTCCACAGACTTTTAACAGCTTCCCTTTAATTCCCAGTAGATGTATAAAATACATTTATAATATTCTAGGATTAGGAACAGTCACAGCAGTAACAACAGCACTGCTTCAGCCTAAGAAAGTGCTGAACGGTACATCTCAAACACAGCTCTGTGTGATTTGGATAAATTCACAAGGTTACCTGCCTAAAACATCTGCAGAACATACTATTTGAAAATAGTCTAATTATAGCAAACAAACCTAAAAGAGTTTTAAGTTATTTCTTTTTCATTTCCTGAGACAAGTGGTGGTTCTAACACAATTTCACATAATGGTTAGTGTTGGAAGTGACCTCTGGAGATCATCTGGTCCAAAACCCTGCAAGGCAGGGCCACCTAGAGCAGGTGACACAGGACCTTGTGCAGGTGGCTTTCGGATGTCTCCAGAGAAGGAGTCCATGACCTCTCTGGGCAGCCTGTTCCAGTGCTCTGCCACCCTCAAAGTAAAGAAGCACATCCACATGTTGAGGGGGAAGCTCTTGTGCTTTAGTTCACGACCATTGCCCCTCATCTGTCACTGGGCACCACTGAAGAGTCTGACACCCCCTCTTGGCACCTGCCTCTGAGATATTTATACGTGTTAATGAGATTCCCTCTCAGCCTTCTCTTCTCTAGACTAAACAGGTCCAGCTCCCACAGTCTCTCCTCATGAGAGATGTGCCAGACCCCAAATCATCTCTGTTGCCTCTGCTGAACCCTCTCAGAAACTCCTTGTCTTTCTTGTACTGAAGAGCCTCAAACTGGACACAGAAATTTGATTATTGGAAACTCACCTGCTCTTTGAGCATGAATAAAACAAGTCACAACTACCATTATATGTGCATATTACGTATTTCTGAAATTATTTGATAAAATCTTTACTCACTTTTTGTGCTTTGAACATCAAAATTAGTCTTTTTACTCATCCCGAGTTCTTCTGGCTGTCTGTAATGCAAAAGAAACAAGGTATTAAATACATCCAGTGCATTAAAGAACATTATACACCTCTTTTATGTTTAACTGCAAAAAAACCCCAAAAAAACCCACAAACTCCATAAACCAAAAGTGGGATTATGATAGAAGACTATAATAATTCAACTGTTGTTGTGGGAGACAGAGGTTCAGAAAGCAGGATGCAATTGTCCAGAAAAAAAATGTGGAGACCATGAGAGATATAGCAACTTTTACCTATTTCCCCAAACTAACAATACATTCTATTTCCAGAAGAGAAAATAAAGTCCGATGCAACAGCTAGTTATCTACAAACTTAATTGTACAGAAGAGTTCTTACTTATTTTAAGCAACAGAAATAATGGTTCACAGATAACCCAAGAAACAGCTCTGACTTCTGCTCAAATAAAGGTTGTACTAATGCAAAGAACTTGAAAACAAAAACATAACTGAGTAGTGATGTGACTATGAATACAGTCTCCATTGTTTGGAGAAAATGCAGAACCCTGGCCTAATCAGAGAAACCCTGATCCACAAAGGTGAGCAACACAAAACTGGAACATGCACACAAGTGAATTTACACCATGTAGGACAATGTATTTTACATTCTGAAGTAGAAAGCAATTTATTTAGAAAAAGTGACCTAACTTGCATTTCTTTCAAACATCACATGAGCTGTCCTTTACTGTGTGCCATACCGTGCACCCTTACCCTAGCCCAACTTGGAAAATCAAAACCAAACAACCCAAACCAAGTAATTCCTAGTTTCTTCACTACAGCACCAAGATGATTATTTTTTTCTCAGAACCCTTCCAGGAACACATCTGGAGATCTTTGACTTGCCTTCCCTTAGGAAGCTGAAGAAAGCACTACCTAAGTTCTGCAAGCCAAGAATCAGGAGTGATGGCCTGCATCTCCAGACTGGAACTCAGGTAGGCAGACAATTCCCTCTTGCAGGCTAAGGCGAACAGGGAAGCACCCAATAACAAATCCAAGGGTCAAACCAGAAGCCTGACAGACTGCCAGCTATCCCGGTATTTACAGTTTTGATGACTACCAGACATCAGCTTCAAGAACAAGCTTTAAGCTAATTCAAACTATTGCAAATAAAGCACCGTAGCAATTTTACTGGAGATCTAGGGAAGGAGGCATATTGGGAAAGAAAAATAAAGGGAGGCAGAAGTCTCGGGCACAAGGCAAGTGTCCTGTGCCACTGAGAACCAGAGTAGTTGCACAAAGGACCTTGGCCACAAAATGGTCCAAAAAGGAAACAAACTAAAAAGCATCACCACTAAATTAGATGAAAACGTTCCTAAAGAAAAATCACACTGATAGACAGATTAAGTAAGTGACTACTTATTTCCCAGAAACACACTTCCCTTTTTCTAAATAAAGAGGAATAACTATATTTAACCAGGTACAGAGGGAGAAAAAGACCCAGAGCTCACACACATTCCCTGTCTTCAGGATGTCCCCAGGATGATCACTATCGGTTTCACCGTTCTCACGCTCCTGCGGTAATACAACAAATAAACTAACTTCACACGGCCACATAAACTTTTTTTTAGTAAAAAGCCCTACAGGTGGACAAAGCACATATGTGGCTGGAAACAAGAAGATCACCTTCCCACCTTTCCTTGGCTCCAGCAAAATAGAAAGAAAAAACACTACACCACCCTCAATTCCCTCAACTTTTTTCAAATTCTTTCAGGTATGTTAACCCAAAGTTCGAATTTACAAGTTAAAAGACAGGCGGATCAACCATTAAGGCCCCCTGCAGAAGTCCTCTGGGGCTTTTCACAGGAACAAAGCAATTCCGCATCCATCTGTTTGCAAGGCAGGAACGACCCCATTATCGCCCTGTGTCTAGAAAACTGGTGTAAATAAAATGTATCTACTTTGCCTAAACAGGCTGGAAAAGTCCTCAGAGAGTGTGTTGTGCTACATTCGGTAATTTTTTACTGCTCCATAACGTAACGCTTTTGAAGAGTCTTTTAACTAGAGATTAAAAAAAAACAAAGCCAGCCCCAAGAGGCACGGGATCAGGCACACGTTTTCCCAAACACAGGAACAAAGGAAGTCTCACTAAGCCACCTGTGCACCCCGAACATCCACGCAGTGGGACCTGCAGGTGGGCCCACGGTCACTGCCCGGAGCCGTGTCCCGCGCAGTCCCGTCCCGTCCCTGGGCAGCCAGCCGCGGGCAGCGCCCCGGCGCGTCCCGAGGGGCGAGCCGAGCACGGGGCTTCGGGGCCGTGCTCCCCCGGGCCCGCAGGGCTCAGCCGCCAGCCCCGCCGGCACCAGGGCCCCGGCAGGTCCGGCCCGCCCGCTCCCCTTCCAGCCGCACTCCGCGTCTCCCCGGGACGCCGCCCGTCTCCCGCCAGCGCGGAGCAAGAGGGAGCATGCTTGCTTCGTTCTCCCGGGGCTCCGAGCAGCGGCGGCTCCCCAAAGCACGGGCTGGGAGGCTGCGGCTCGCCACTCCCCGCACGGCGAAGGAAGGGGCTCCCGCCTCCCTGCCCCCGCAGCTCACGCAGCCCCGGAATCGCCCCGCAGCGCCGAGAGCGGCACTCACCGCTCGGACCGGGCCGGGCCGGGCCGCGCCGATTCCAACCCCAACATCAACCGACGGCCGATTCAAACCCCAACATCCGCCCCCTGCCGGAAGCGCGGCCCGCCCCGCCCCGCGCCCTGCGGCCCCGGAACGCCGGGCAAGCCTCTTTTGGAGGATTTACCTGAGGAAACAATAAGCTGCCTTTTTTTTTTTTTTAATATTTTAAATTTTTGTTTAATTTTTTTTTTTAAATTTCTGTCTTCTGCAGCGTGTTCTCATTTTTTTTTTTTTTTTTTTTTTTTTTTTTTTTTAATTTCTGTCTTCTGTAGCTTATTCTCAAGGGGCCTAGACTGCCACCGTATGGGGCCGTGCTGACCCTTTTCCCCCCATATCTGCAATGAAATGGAGTTTCTCAGTGGGGTTGTGTTTGATGTTTGTGCTGATGTTTTTCCATTGGAATGCCACTGGTGGTGCACCGTGTTACGAGAGAGCTCGTTCCAGCGGCTTTGGGAGTTGGCGAGTGCTCCTCGCCGCCCGGCAGAGCCGGAACGCTGCAGTGCCGAGGTCCATGCGCTGGGAATGCTGAGCGGGTGTCAGCTCAGGGTGTCACCCTGCACGCTACCGAGAGCGGCTCTCCGCCATCCCCGCCCTCATGCTGGTCTCGGCAATAGCTGCTCCACACCTTTATTCCCCCCGGTAACTTGGCTGTAGAGCCCGGAGTCTGTGCCCATCCCCAAGCTAGACCCGAGATCCCTTGCCCCGGCTGGAAGTTCTCCAGCTGCAGGCAGAGGCGGAGCAGAGAGCTTGTCTGGAATCTGTAGTTGGCTCGGCAGGTGTGGGGACCTGCAGCTTGTTTTCACTCAACTGGCCCCATTGTCCCACTGCCTCTCTATTTTCCTGTGCTTCTTCACCTATAATATGCCTTCGTCACACCCGTTCCCCTAAACATCCCATAACGCCTTTTGCTACCCTAAAATACCCCATAATGACTTTGTTCTTTCCTGACAAATATGTGATCATCTTCCCCCCTCATCAGTTAGGAAGTTCCAGCTTAATCTCCAGTTTAAGCTCCCAGTGTAATGGGACGGAATGTTTCTGTCAATGGCCTGGTCTTTGTCACAGTCTCGGTTTGTGTGTCTGGGGCTTACCTTGGCCAAGTCCTGCATTGTTAAACAGCTGTTAATCCTTCCACCCTGTACTTCTGAAAAGAAGGATGTCTATGAATATGAAACAGGGCGAAAGGTAGAGAAAGACAATTATAGGTAATTATTTTCTTAATTTTAAAAAATTAACCTATTATGTTGATTTTCCTAAATGTACCACAGAATGGTGGGTGTCCCATTTCATCCAATAACCGGTGACCTACCTGCTATCCAGAGCTGCTTCCATTCTCCTTCATGGATTCAAATGCACATTTTCAGGAAGTTTAGAGTATTGTTCTTATCTGTACCCTGTCTGGCTTGCTGACTATTCTAATGTATATGTCAGGAATTGTCACACTGCTAATGGAAATGAAAAGCCTTAGTGTTGTCTTTTGAGAGTCTGATCCCAGTCTGCCACATTCTGGGTATATCGGTCTCAAGTAATGGTGTACCGAATAAAGGATGTGATTGTTATACTACCTCCATCTCTTGTAATATATAACACTGTTTCTGTTATATATTACCTAATATGTTTGCTGTATACAGATATGTATGCTGTATGATTCCAAATACAGAATATTTCATTTTGGTTCAGCTGTTAAGTTCTGTTAGAGTTACTTATTATTATTATAGTTATTATTGTTATTATTGTCATTTTTCTCAGTCAGAAATCAGGTAGTACTAGCCATAAGGGAGAAAGACCTCTAAAGGAAGTATTACCATTTGAATGTATCTGAGTGTTCTCCTGGGTTTTATGAACATTTCATTTTGTTTTTTAATTTAATGAGACAGTCTCAAACATTTTTCTATATTTATGTAAAACTCTGACAAGCAGTGCATCCTCTAAACATCTGAAGTATGGCCAGCTGTCTAAAACTCCAAGCCACATATGGAGATGCTTAGTAGTCATGTCATAACTTATAAAGTTTTTAGGATGTACACATGATGGTAGCATGTTATACTCGGTTTGCGTGGTTATATAATAATAAAATTAACATGATAACTGATAAAGTCCTTATTCTTTAATTGTTTTTAAAAGAAAGATGTCCAGGTTACCTTAAAATATATATATATATAATTTTTTTTTTTAAATCATGGACTTATTCTTTTCTTCTGAAGCTCACAAAGCACTTTAAATTTATCTTTCCACTTGTGATGACCAGCTATAGTTTATATATCTCTGTTTTTTTAACTTGATAGTTTCTTGAGATTATAAATTCAGTTAAAAAAGATAAAAAGTTTTTCCTATTTCATCCTGTAAGTGTCAGAAAAACTTCCATTTCTCTCAATCCAAATTATCAAACTCTAGTCTGTCGATGTGAGTGTGCTGTTTTACTTCAATAGTTCATGTTGTGTTTTATGTTTTAAAGCTGTATTTAAATATCAGCTAATACTTGCCTTGCAGAAAGCATTTTGTAGAATAGATTATTGGTAATGCTGATGAAATGCTTTTGATTCAGACATTTATAAAATATTCCAAAATGAAATTGTATCCGTTTTTGCATGATAAGTAGCTATAGGGAAAATAGTTGGGAAAAGGTTTTGAAATTTTACTGCCACTTAGTTCTCTGAATGCTGATGACTTCCAGTGTTTCTTAAACCTTTAAAATAGGTTAATGTTTCTTGAGATGCTTGTTTGAGCATACAAATATTTAACATAATTTGTAAGATAAGTAGCCTTGCTTATGAAATTCCTAATCCACCTCAGGCAAGAATCTTACTTATAAAGGTAAAGTAGAATAGAAAACATTTTCTTTAAGCATTTATATAAATATTTATTTTAAAGGTGGACAGGGGTTGTTTCTTTAACGGCTGGTATTTTCTGTTTAATTTATTGTGGAAATCTTATAGGTTTTATAAATAAGCAGAATTGAGCAAACTTAGGTGAAATCTGCTGAACCAAAGTTTTTCAGTTGGATAGACTGTAGCCAGCTTATTTGTCCAGTAATAATTAAACAAGAGTGGAGCAAAACAGTTTACATTTACCAATCCATAAAACTCAGATGAGGGAGCAGTCAGTGGACACAGCAATCAAACAAAATTCAAACCTTAAAATCACTTAAAAATGCATGTTAGATGATTTTTTTTTTAATTGGAAGGTTTCTGTCTGTCTGCAGACAGAAAGTAATGTCTGCACATTACTTCTGCCAAAATCTTATGGACAGCCTTACTTAAGAGGTGATTAATACTAGTTTTTCTTTCTTAATAGTCTAGGGCTTATGCTGCTCTTCAATGAAAATGTCAGAAAGAGACCCAGATTTTGGAAAGCATGGAAGCATTTGGAAACATACCCCTGAATTGTCATTGAGAGCCATCATTCAGAATTGACTCTAAATTCCTTTTACCTAATACCCAGTCAATTACATTATATTTTACTTTCATAATGATGCCCTGAATATCATTCATGGTTTTTTCAGATACAAGGACAAATCTGGAAAGGAATCTGCCCTTAGAAAAATGAATTGTTGGATTTTTTAAAATACACGGGTTTTTTTGGGAGATTTGTGTTTAACTGTGACAATCAAGATGCTAATTTTGCCTTCTCAGGCAATGGTGATTCTTCCTTCAGTGTACCCTGCAAACATTTTGTTGCATCAGACCCAGACAAGAGAGAAATATATGTCCACTCCCACATGAAACCACTGGTGTACCCTGAGGGTGTAATTGTCCTGTGCAGCACAAATACCTTTGAATTACATATGAATGAATATCCCAGCTCCAAGATCCAGAGTGTCCTTTGCAACCAGACACTGTTGATTTGTAACAATTAATCTGTTTGTTGATTTGTAACAATTAATCTCTTTTAAAAAACATTATATGCTAATATAGGAATTTCACCACAAAAGCTTAGTACTGGATTCTGACAAAAGCAGAAGAAAAATGTTGATGGCCTCAATGATTGCTCTGCTGATGTATTTTACTTCAGTGTGTATGGGGTTTTCGTGGCCAGGTTTGGGGGGCTGGGGGTTGCTACAGGGGTGGCTTCTGTGAGAAGCTGTGAGAAGTTTCCCCATGTCCTGCAGAGCCAACGCCAGTCAGCTCCAGGATGGACCTGCTGCTGGCCAAGGCCGAGTCTATCAGCAATGGCAGTAACACCTCTGTGATAACATGTTTAAGAAGGAAAAAGGTTATTGTGCAGATGTAACACATCTCTTGGCCTAAGAAAAGCAGTGAGAAAATGTGAGAGGAACGACTCAGCAGACACTGAGGTCAGTGGAGAAGGTGGGACAGGAGGTGTTCCAGCTGCTAGAGCTGAGATTCCCCTGCAGCCCATGGTGAAGACTACAGTGAGTCAGGCTGTGCTCCTACAGTCCATGGAGGACCACAAAAATGCAGAGATCCTTCTTCAGCCTATGGAAGAGACCCACACTGAAGCAGGTGGATGCCCAAGAGAAGAGTGAATCCTTTGGAAGTCTGCACTTCAGCAGGCTGGCAGGGGCCTGCAGACCTGTGGAGGGAGTGTTGCCAGTTTTAGGAGCTCTCCAAACAGAGGCCCAGTCTCGTTTAGAAAGCAGACATTGTTTATTCTGTGCAGGGTGCAAGATGGAGGTTTCCACAAGTCAAGCACACCAACTATCAAAACTTTACTATTTATCTATATTCCCAGCCAAAGGCATTATTGTTTATTAGCTATAAATGACATGGTTCTCTTATTAATATTCTATCTTCTATCAGTTAATGATTCTCTTGTCTTCTCATGCTAATTAGTCTGCATACTCAGTCTTTCTCTTGAGTCAGTGGTTTCCAGGTTTGGTGGTCTGTGAGTTGGTGGCTGCAGAATTCCCCCTGCTGGAATTATGGAGTTACGTTTTACTCAGTTGGAGCTGATTCAGCACAGTTGCTGAGTTGGTTTATTAGTTTCTTCCTTATCTTGGATGTTCTGCCAAATGTCCTTGTGGCCCATAAATTATGAATTCTTTGTGGTTTACCCTTCTTCCCAAATTCTGTTTAACCTCCCTTTAGGTAT